GCTAGTACTGACTAGAACAAAGCAGCAAATGTGGAAGCCAGCTGTTATGGCTGGGGGACGTTCAGGCAGCCCTATGGAGAAAGCTACTTGGGGAGGAAGTGGGACCTTTCTCCACCAGCCATTGAGCTCATCATCAGCGTAGTCTCCAGGGGAAGACAGCCCCAGCGAATAGCTTGACTAAAAGCTCATGAGAAACCGTGGGCTAGAGCCATCTGACCAAGCTGTTCCTTGATTCCTACCCTTCCAAACCTGTGTGAGATAATAGGAGCTTATGGTCTAAAGCTGCCAAGGGTTAGGGTGATTTGTTATGCAGAAATAAATAACTAACACAGGAAGCTCTGCCTTACTCTTAAAGTGCTGGAACTGTGCAGAACATTTGGAGGAATCTTTATCCCCAAGATAATCCAACTGTATTTCTTTAAAAATTGTAGGCAATTCCAGCATTTTAATTCATATGATTCTGCCATCTGCCAGAGAGTAGAGCAGAGACTCCCCTGCTGGTCACTCTGCTAGAGAGATCAGTTTTTTTTGTCTTTTTTGACACAAGACAGGGTCTGGCCATGCAGATCAGGCTGGCCTTGAGCTCACTTTGTAGCCCAGGCTGGTTTCAAACTTGCAGCCATCCTCCTGCCTCAGCCTCCCGAGTACTGGGATTACAGGTGTGCACCACCATGTCCAGCTGGAGAGATCTTCTGAAAATATATTTTTCCCTCTACAGTTTTCTGTAAAGTTTACGCCAAGTTTAGCTGTATCTAAGTGACACCAAAGTCGTTATATCACTGCAGTGACAAGAGTACCAAGCCTGATAAAATAATCCATTGACAGCGGATTTAGAGATATGACAGGCTTGAGGATTTTTCTAACCATAACCCGGTACACAGTGTATCTTGGCTATGGAGAACTGCTTATGTGTATCAGACTGTTTCAGTGTGAATCTTGACACTGCCACGTGCCAGGCGTGTAAGCTTGGACAAGTTATCAAACGCATGCGTCTCATTTATCTCATCTGTGAACTGAAGAATAAATATGATACAAGTTCTTGGGAAGACTAAACCAAGAGAGAGTAGAGCAGAGACTCTGGAGCTAAACTGTCTGGGCTTGAGTCCTGGCCCCACCCTCTTGACTTTGGGAAGTTCAGCTGCTTTGAGCTTAGTAGTCTACATCCATAAAATGGGGGAGGGGGGACGTATCTCTGTGACAGTTGTGGGGATTAAATGAGTCTATTCATGTACTTCCCCAGCACATGGTAAGTAGTACTTGGCAGGGATGCTGGTACAATTGTGCAGGTTGTTTACTGCTCCAGGGTTCCTATCTGAAAGGTCAAGAGGGGGCTTGCCAGGCTATGTGCTTTGGCAAGCAGTTGCCTACTTACAGTTGTCACTGTCCTTGTACCAGGACCCTGGGTGGATCTTATGCTGTCAACCTAAGAGGCTGAAGTATCCAGAAAACCCTACCTTATCACTATCCTTAGGCTTTGGGCTGATGTTAACTGGATGCTTCATGGAATTCTCCAAAATAGTTGCCATGGGATGCCTGTATCTTACACCTCGCTTTTATGATTCAAAATGTTAACAATTTAAAAGTTTACAGTCGGGGCTGGGGATTTAGCTCAGCGGCAAAAGCGCCTGCCTGGCAAGCACAAGGTCGTGAGTTCGGTTCCCGGTACCGGAGAAAAACCAAAAAAAAAAGTTTACAGTCATGCAGGAGGATGCTACAGTTGCTTAGGTATACATGCATATGTGGTTCAAATATCACAGAGGAATGATGGAAACTGCATTCTGGATAATGGGCTGCATGGGGTGAGAAGAAGATGGGTTTTAGCAGGAATATACAGGGACCTTCAGCCCCACTCAGAATTTCTTTCTTACACTTATAGTACTGGATGCCAAAATGTGCATTAATTTTTAATCTTAAATATGTAAGAATAATTTATTAGTACTACTGAGTGAGACCTATCTTTTTATGTAAGAGATCATTTTGTAGGTCTTGCCTCTTTAAGTCTCTGTTAAATATTAACTGAATATATTGATTAAACCTCACAGAATCAGCATTCATTCAACAAGTATTGACTGTTGAATGGTAGAATGTCCAAAGATCTAAGAAATTCATTTGCATGTGATAAAACTTATAAGAACCTGTTTGGATGTTTGACTATTTTCCCTTTCTTTGAGAAAGCAGAGCCTCATTCTTATTCATATTCATGATTTCTGCTACATAGTAGGTGACAAGTGTTAACTGAAGTGGAATAAAACACAAAGTTGCCATAATAGCTTTTAAAGCACTTTTGATATACTTAAAGTGAGAGACAATACAAGACGATGGTGGTCCCAAATGCCGTACATTATAAGCACAGTTGTATGGGAACTCATTGTGACATTTATCCACTTGATGACTCTTGTTAGGCACCTCCTGGGCATATGACTAAACAAGTGGGACAGTCTTTGGTTTGCACATAGCCTGCTTCTTACCACCTTCATCATCTCCTCACTGTCTAAGCCACCAGCATCTTTTCTTAGGTTATTACAATAATCCAATGCTAGAATCCTGACTGGTCTCCCCACCTCCACTTTTCTCCCCACAGTAAAAATCTCAGTTATGTTCAGAGAGATCCTGTGTGGACTTAAGTCGGAGCATGTTAATCCTTTGCCCTTATACTTCTCATTTGGGTAGAGAGCATGCTTGGCTATAATTTCTTAAATTTATCCCATCAAGAGGTATAGTATATTTCTATTAAGTCTGGGCCACCCTTGTAACTTTGGCCTGTGGAAGGTAGTACATAGAACATGGTGCTGAGAGTGTTCTCAGAAGCTCTGGGTGCTTCTGCTCTTACCCTTTTAATCCTGTACCTGCCATGTAAACAAACCAAGCCAGATTGGAGAACATGTGAAGGAGAACAAGCTCAGGAAAAGTCCTACCCCAGCCCACTCAGCTACCACTCAATCTACCAGCTGTCTGGGGAACCTAGCTGGGATCAGCCTAATCCACCCTTCTGGAACCTTATGGAACCTTCTGGATGACCCACAGACTCATGAGCTGAAAACATCGTTGTTTTAAGCCATTAAGATTTTTCTCGGTTTGCTGGTCAGTATAAGCTAGCTGATACACCACCTCCTTGAGAGAACAGGACACATTTTTTTTTTTTTTTTGCTGACTAACTGTGGTACTTAGAGCAGTGACAGCAAACCTTTCAGAGATGAGTGCCTAAACTACAACACAAAAACCCACTTATTTATCACAAATTTATGTCAAAATTGCCAACACTGCAATTAAACCAGAATACTGGTTTTAGCTGAGAAAAAGCAACTTATCCATTAACATCTTTTGTTGTAAAAGAAAAACACACACATATGCCCCAGGTTCACCACCACTAATTTAGAGCGTCGTCTGGCAAATGGTAGGTGCTCAGTGAAAATCTGGTGGAGTCATTGAGAAATTCGTAAGTAGAGTTAACATCCCAATGAAGGAACCAGGAAGAAAATAAGTAAATAGCTAGTAAAATGTAGTAAGTGCTATGGGGTAATGTGTAATAGTTGAGGTAGAAAATTAAGAGTGGATGTGGAAGGCAGACCCTCCACTAGCTCCCTATCTGTTTGAGAATGAATGCTAAAATCCCAATGGCCCCCAGGCTTACAGGACTCCTCTACCGTGCTTACTTTGCTCTCTGATCTCACAACACTGACCCCTCCTCCCACGCTGCTCTTCCATGTTCCCCCCCACCTCTGGCGCTTGGTGATGGCCCTGGCTGGATGTTCTTCCCTTGGCTAACCCGTATCACTCCCCTCACTTCAGGTGTCTGCTCAGACGTCACACTGTCATCAAGGCCTTCCGGACCACCTTACCCAAATAGCAACCCCTAGTCCCTGGCACTCCCTCACTGCTCATCAGACTTCACTTTTAGGCACAGCACCTGTCATGCTCTGATCTATTCCATATTAACTTCTTTGTTTGTTGCCTAACTCATGTGATAAATCATGAATTTCATGAGGGAAAGAAGTTTGCTTTGGTCAATTTACCCTTAGGAGGCTACTGTCCTAGGGCAGAAATTTAACAAAAGATACGAAAGTGTGTCAGGGGCCATGACATCCTGTCAGTCCTAAAATTAAGCCAAGGGAGCATTTGGCTTTGCACCATACTGGCAAGGCTTTTTAAAAAGCCAAAATGCTCAGGTGAGAGACATGGCTGGCTAACTGAAAAATTGCAAATGTGCTCATACCAGGCTAGCAGTTCACAACTGTCCTGCTAGCATCCCTACAGCTTGCTGAGAGCATTCTAATCCCTGTTAGTGTTCATTCCTCACAACAGCTGGGAGAGGCAGAGGCAGGCTTGATTATCTCCCACTCGCAGACGGAGGTAAAGGCGATCCCAGAGCTCTGGGGAGTTGCCTAAGATCAGAGACATACAAAGTGGTGGAGCCAGAATTCAAATCATAGTGGGTCTGATTCCAAGTCTGATGCCTCTGTCACTGTTTCCCACTCTGTCTCCTTCTGCGTTCTGACTTGGCGACCTTGACTCACAGATTCAGGGCCAGCCTTGGGCTCCTGAAGTGTTCTCTTGAGGAAGGCACCCTTTCTCTATGAAGTGTAAGCAGCCTGCCAAGAGGAACAGGAGATGAATAAACATCCAGTGTGTCAATTCTAGAGCATCTCTATGGCTTTTAGATGTCCCCAGCCCCTTGTGTTTGACAGTCAGGATAGTGCCCTGGGGCCCCTTTGTCCCCAAAACCTCCCAGTGCTGGCTGGTCTGTAAGGGAGGGGAAAGTCTAACCCAACTCAAGACTGGCAGGTGCTTTCAGTTGAAAACCAAAAAGAAATCCCAACCTGATTGCTTTATTTTGGTTTAAAAAGCAAGTCGTGTGACAGTGGAAACTCTTTCCCGGTTCTCCTCCCCTCTCTGCCATGTTGACAGCAGACTGACTAATTCTGGCTGGGGTTTTTCCCTGCCTGGCTGTTTTTCTCTTTTATCTTCATCACTGAAGAGAGCTGCTTTGGCTTTCAAACTGTTAAAAGGTTTTTGGGGTTTTGTGTATTTTTTTTTCTTTCACATAATTCAGTGGGTCTTTTCCCAGATATATTTTCTCTCAAACTACCTTCTAAGTTGTTGAAGTTTCCGCCCATGTGACTTCCAGCATGAATTACCAGAAACCACAAGAGAGAGTGCGCGCGCAAGCCCCAAAGCAAGCGAGATGTCCCTGTGGGGAGCAGTCCCTCTGTACCCCAGAGTGAGGAGGACGCAGGGGTCAGAGGTGGCCCCAGGGCGAGCAGGGGAGGCACCTGTGAAAGGTGCAAGGCTGGTGACCTGGGGCAGTTAGGAGAGGAGGCCAGCTGCTGACAAGAGCGCGCCGGAAGGACTTCAGCCATGCCTCATAACTCCGACAGCAGCGACTCCAGCTTCAGTCGCTCTCCTCCCCCTGGCAAGCAGGTAGGGTCTCCCTGTCCCTCTCTTCTACCTCTGATGCTCAGAGGGTGGGGGTGGGGAAGGAGTCAGGCGGTCTTGGTCCTGCCCCGGGAGCCATGGAGGGAGGAAGTGGCTGGTGGCAGAAGCACCCTGTTTGACCCCAGACACGGACAGCATTTGCAGTTCAGCTGTGTGCCGCCACAGAGACCCTCAGCCTCAGCTCCCCCAGTCTGCCAAAGCCTTTCTCCCTCTCCATCCCCCAAGTGCGCCCATTACCTCCACCGAGTTCCCACCACAAAGCTTTCTAGGAAGCAGAGAGGAGGTTGAATATCAAAGACCTCAGTGGAAAAGGTGTACTGTTCTCCAAGGCTGTAAAAAAGTGACGCAGGAGCTTTTCAGTGAGCTGCTGGCACCCGCGAGCCAAGCTCTAGATGTGTAGTTACCCAGGAAGAGCCCCACAGCGAGAGAAAAGAGAGGAAAGGGTTGAGTGTCAGGAGGAGGAGGAAGCCAGCATGCAGGCTTGGTGTGCCCAGGCGTTGTCTCTGTTGCTAGCACAGCTGGGAGTGGGGGCGATGCTGGAGTACAGCCGAAGCTCTTTCCCTGTGGCTTCTGGACAGGAGGAAATAAAAAGTGGCCCTGGGGACTTGGAGACGTCTGCCAGTGACCCTCCAAACGGTCTCAGTCTCCCTAAGGCTCAGGTTCCTAATCTACAGACTGGGAAATGGTGACTTCCAAGCCAAAGTTTTCGGCTGGAAGGTCTCCAAAAAATTGAGGTACCCTGTGGAATCATACCTTCTGAGCCTCTTTCTCTTTCTCTCTCTGAATTTGAACTTGCAGTCTTCCTGGATCAGCCTCCCAAGTAGCTGGGATTATAAGCAGGCACCCCTATACCTGGCTGGGACCTTCTTTCTCTTTACTACATTTCTGACCTTCCTCACTATAGGAAGTCCTCCTCCTTTGCATCCAAAATATATCCATAGATTAAACTCTTTTCCATCTCTGTGGTTTAAAACCTGAATTCTCTCCTTAGTACAGATATCAGGGGGCTTTCAAAATACTACAGGTAAAAGAAAAGTATATTAATATCTGATTCAATGTCTATCAAAATCATCTGACAGATGAACAGCAGGTTGGACAAAGTCCCACTGGAGACCTTGAGAGGCACAACTTTCCATTCCTCTGCCCAACCTGGTATGAGAGTGGCTCAGACTGCCTAAAAGTCTGAACTGTACTCTTCTTAAGAAGGAAATTACTCATGGCTTCCATGGTAACCTGGTCCCCTGTACCCCTTAAGAAAGAGCACTTCCTTCCCAGTTATACCAACACCCGCCTGCTACAATGACTTGGAAGTATGGGTCACTGGGAACCATGGGGCCTTGCCCAAAGGATATGTGCGCCTCTGGCCTGCAGAATGTTCCAGAAGTAATTCTTTCCGATGTCTATGCTAACCTACAGCATTTAGAGAAAGTTGCAACTAACATCTCCTGCTAAGCAGAGGACATGCCCACCTACAGGTGTAGTTAGAAGACACCCAAATGTGTCTCTATTCTCCCAAATCCCATCTACAACAAACCACAGCAGCTAACTCCCTTACAGTGTTCTCCTTGGCATATCATATGTACTGGGCATTGCGCTCAGAGCCGTGGAGAAGGTCATGCTATCAGACCGCAATGAAGGCAATGAAAGAAAAGAAAAAGCAGGCCTGAGGTGGTGCTCTCTGTCCAAAGACGCAGCAGGGGCAGGCCCTCCTCGGGTAAAGGTAATGAGGTCAGAGCGTGAGGGGGCCTTGGAAGAGCTTCATACTGTGCCCAGGAGATGCAGCACTTCCTGATTACTGTGCACTCGTGGCCAACTCTTACAGCCTCAGTCTCCTCCTATGTAAAATGGAAATAATGATACACATCTCACAGAACTGGAGAATCAGACAAGAGCACTCCTGAAAGCACTTGGACAGAAGCTGGTGTATAGCTGGTGCTTAACAAAGTTTTCAGAAAAAAAAAAGTAAAAGAGCAAAAATGAACAGCAAGGGTTTCTAGGCTTAAAAATGAGAAAGTGAGGGTAGAAGAGTTCTGAAGAAGAGGAGAGATGAGGAAATTCATTTCATTGCCTTTAACCATATTTGGGGAAAAAAAAAAAACCATTGAGACTTCAAGATCTCTTCTTTCTGTAGCTTTTGGTCAAAAAAGGCATAAAGACACCTGAGGATGCATAACAAGGTCTGGACATGAGTGCTCCTCCGGGTGCAGGGTTTTGGTAAATAAGGAGATTGAAACACACGTGAAGAGATGAGGACGCGGAAGGGTGAATGGACATATGGAAGGTGGATGAAGGGGTGGATGGATAGGTGGGTGGATGGTGTGTGGGTGAGTGGGCGGGTGGGTGGATGGGTAGATGGGTGGGTATAAATGCCACAACAGTCTGCTTGAGCTCAGAAGACAGGAGTAGACTTGCCTAATTCTCATCTCTGCTTCCCAGGACTCATCTGATGATGTGAGAAAAGTTCAGAGAAGAGAGAAAAATCGCATTGCTGCCCAGAAAAGCCGACAGAGACAGACACAGAAAGCTGACACCCTGCACTTGGTGAGTGCTCCAACTCTCTCCTGCTCCCCACATCCACCCACAGACCTCCAGAGCCCTGTGTGCAAATGTGTATGTGTGTGAGAGAGTGAGCAGAACCTGAGGGTGCAGGGCGAGGTGGGGAGATAAGGCCCTCCTATGAGTATGCTGGAGAAGTTCTGTGGCAGAGAATGGGCCAGGAGGCTGAGCAGAGAAGTCAGCCTTTCTACCCTGGAAGGACCCACGGGGTAAATGATCTGGCTGTTGGAATCCCAGAATCACCTGCTCTGAGAAGAGGCAGTCCGAGAGAGCTCCATCTGTCAGGAGCCACTGAGAGCAGAAGGATGACTGGCTTTGGGGGGCACTCAGAAGGTGTTAAATGCTTTGGGAAGCCTGTTACCCTTCAATACTAAGACCACACAGAATCTCAATCTTTTGGAGGGCAGCAGAGCAGAAACCGAAATGTACCCACATTTGAGAGAAAGAGGCCTCTGCGATGCTATACCTTAATCCTCTTTTCTAAGCATCATTAAAGTTCTGTGTTGAAATTTCTAGCATTTATGGTATCCCAAGGAATCTGTGAAACATGCAGTCTTAAGGGCACTAATCTGGAGCAGGTCATCATACTGGTTGAGTTGCCACTAGCTCCAAACATTTCTGGAGAGGCTTTGACTCCTGACTTGGGCAGGCAGCGGGCTTTAGGTGGCGCTGGCTTGAAGGTCAGTGTTTTCTAGGTCCCGGATGTGGGGCTCACAAAGCAGTGCCCCTCCTCTTTCGCTGCCTCGCCACCTTACTTCCCTTCACTTTTCCCACTAATTTGGTTCTTGTCCAACCTACTTGCCTCCCTGGTTCCTGCAGCTTTCATGCTGTCATCCCTTTCTCCAGCAACACTGCAGTTCTGTCCTTCCTCCTGGAACAACCCTTTCTCTCTGAGTTTAAGGGTTTCTTTCAGTGGCAAAAGGCAATTGGCACCAAAAATGAGTAAGTTTTGTTTACTTGGATGATCAGCATGGCAATCAGCTAGTTGGCATAGCTGTTTTAATTTTATTAAGAATAAGAAAGACGTAGGTTTGGGAGCTGGGAGAGCTGCTTCCTTTAGCATCTCAGGAAACTGAGAACAAGCTGCAGCTACTTCTCCTAATGATGTTTGTGTTTTATTTAAAATGGGCTTGGATGTCTTCCATTGCACAATAATATAATTTAGGGGGCTGGGGATTTAGCTCAGTGGCAAAGCGCCTGGCTGGCAAGTGCAAGGTCGTGAGTTTGATTCCTGGTAAAAGAAGAGACAAAAAAAAAAAACAAAAAAAAAAAACCGAAAAAAAAATAATGTAATTTAAGTTTATGAATATGTGTTAAGTAAATAAATAAAAAAGAACGAGTAGATAGCCAGAGTACCAACTGAGACCAACAAAGTGTTAAGTGGTTGGTCCCCCTGCTACCTACATGACCCCTGTGATTTCCTTGAAATGTATGTTCTTCCTCTTATTATTTTAAGCTTGGACATCTATGACCACTCACTTTCTCTATTTGATTCTGATTCTTATTTAATATTTTAGGAGAAGCAAACAAATGAAACAAACCTAAAAGGATAAATTTTTTTTGTGCAAGCAGGCTAGCAAACTGTTATAAACTTTATAAATTTGTAATACTAAAAAAAAAGAAGCTGGGCATGGTGGTGCATGCTTGTAATCCCAGCACTTGGGAGGCTGAAGCAGGAGGATAGCCACGAGTTTGAGGGCAGTCTGGGCTACAGAGTGAGTTTAAGGCCAGCCAGAACTGCATGTTGAGACCCTGTCTCAAAAAAAAAAAAAAAAAAA